TCATAGAACTCATAATGATGTGTATCATTTATCCTCCAATTCATTTTCTCACTGATTTTATTGTTCATTTTTGAATCATTAATTTCATTAATGTGTCCCTTAGAGTGCAATCACTTATCACAGCAGGCATAAATCATGCTTGTAATGTGTGTTGGGGCAGAGCTGAGTTTTTACCAGCTAAAACTCATGGTTCTAAAAATCCAAATTGACCAATTTAATCAAACAAAACTTTATGGTATTATGCAGCCAGTGTTTTGTGAAAAACCAGAATTCTTAACTGGTAGAAAAAGGATACTATTGCTGCTCCCATTACTTCAATGTATGGCATAGGTGTAGGATATATTGTTTAAAAAATCATCAAAAGTTTCTAAAATGAATGCAATACAGAGTTAAAAGCACCATTTCCAAGCCCTTAAATGCCCACATGGCTGGGTATATTCCAGGCTAACACATAATGTTTAAGCAAAAATGAAACCTAATTGCAATAGACTTGAAACTGAGTTGGTCAATTTGCCTTCACCCTGTGCTTTCAAGGCCAGTAAAAGCATAACTAAACTTACTTAGCTTGGAAGGCCAAATTAAGTTAGGTGAAATACACTAATGTCATGTACACTTGTAATTTAGTTTCAGTTTTGCTTAAAATTAACTGCTAGCCATACAAGGTGGTTCATGGTGAATTTGCCCGAGTTTTAGCCTAGAATATACAGCCACACCTCACATGAGTGGGAGTTAAGGGCTTTGTTAGGCATTGGCCTTCAATTTTCTTTAGCCTCTTTCTATATTTATTTGGCTTATGAGCTCTACCAAAAGGCATAAAAGGCTGGTAAGCCAAAATAAAATTGAAAAACGCTATAAAAATTAAAAGACCACGAGCCATCACTAATTGGTGAGAGCTTTGTTCTTTTAATTTTCTTAAACCAGACACTATAGTCTCCACCTACTCTATGATGACTGCAAATGTGCAGTAGGAACAATAATTACTTTTTAGCAATACATGTACTTTAAAATAGGTAAATTTAATTACTTTTTAAAATATGATATCAATGAAGTGACTCAAGGAAATTTTGACAAACAAAACAAATTAATAAAATGATACAATAAAAAGTAAATGAGGAAATGTTACATATTAATACAGAAAAAACCAAGTGATGAACCCATTATGATGAAGTGCCAACGGCATAAGGCACGCATTGTTATCTGTGGATCTCATAGTAATGTCTTCATTAAGATGAATAGTAGGAGCACCAGTAATCAAAGAACAAATGTCACCTACAGGTACTCAGGACTACCTGAAACATAAACCATAAATGAAAATAAATAAGAAAAACAGTACCTTCAATGCTATGCCTAGTGCTTAGTCTGATAACCCTCTCTTGATGAAGGAGCTCACTCAATGCAGAAACAGTAATCTTCTTGTTGGGTTGGAAACAAAGTGTACCTTTTAATGTCTTAATAGCAGTGACTTGCTGTTCTAGTGAAACATACCTAGCAATATCTCAGGACTAGCTTCAGCAGATGTATCAAAATCCAATGTCTTCCTACAACCTTTCCTCAAAGAGGTAAGCTCTGAGTGTGTTGAAAAGAGTATAGTGCATCAATGCACAATTCACAAACTCTCTCTTACTCAAGAACTTGATGTCATTATTGAAGCCACTTTCAAACTAAACTTCAGTTGTGACCAGCTGCTGGAACGTGACGACATTGAAAAGCGAGTGGATAACTCTGAGGGTTATAGCGCAAGCCAATAACAGGGACCTTTCAATGAAAGACTTACACTATTTAGTTATTTCGTTAAACAATAATTACAACTTGATTAAAATGAAAGCATGTGCATCGACTTACATTTTTGTCCCTGGCTTAAACAGTGATGAAGACCCATCATTCAAAGAAGACCCAAACTAAAAAGACAGTTATGGTTGTGGTACTGCGATTCGTAAAAGTGGTAACCTTTTCTGGTTCTTTCTCTCTGACAGCTACTAGGACAGGATAGAGGGGGCATGGAATCCATGGAGTGACTGCAACATGGCAGCTGTAACTAACCTGTTCGCCTCCACACTGTAGTAAAGGCACCTGACCATCTGCCAAAGTTTGTCTGAACTGATTAAGACAATTATAAAAATTGTGCAAAAAATAATTAGGCAATAGATAAAAATAGACCTTTAAAATCTTCCTCTTCATTTCACTGTCTTTCAATAATGCAGAAAGTGTAAGGGCTGCTATATATCAGCATCAAAAGTTTCACAAAGCAAAAGGTTTGGCTTTAGAGTTAGCATCTCTTGCTTCAGTGGGAGGAATGGCATTGTTTGAAGAGCGTTATTCTTTGCTAAGTGTACTTATATCTAAATGGTTTATTGTTGAAAATCCTGCTTTAAGTATAGTCTGATATTACATTTTATTCTATAAATGAAACTTAATAGGTGATGAACCAAATCAGATGAACAGTCCCAGTCCCTCTGTAATTAGTCCAATATTAATAAGTAATAGTACATCATGCATGCATTCTTTGTGGAAGATGTACAATTTAGTACGTATTACTATTGTTATGCATACACCTTTTTATCTATTGTGGTTTTCTTAATCATCACTAGTTATGTAACAGCAAAGAATAGGATCACCTATAGAACGTGAGAAACAATGAAGTATTGGAACTCCAAATAAGCATCTAGTTGCCATAGTTGCTCACAAATTAGAACAAAGTACTATATACATACAGTACAGGGGAACAGGCAACAGAAAAGGTGGTATAGAATCAGTAAGATGATCAATTCTTATGCACTTATATTAGAAACATAATACTACTTTATAAGTAACGTACAGGATAATATTGAGAATGAAAAGGATTGTGGTACATAATACTCATAATTTTATGTGTGTATATGATATTCTATAGGAGGTGTGGAAGACAACGAAAGTGCAAGTCTTGCTAATACAAATGCTATATGCACGTGTTACAACAAATAAAGACTCTTTTAATTCTTAACATTTTATAGGTAATATGGCAAAAATACAATGCTGCCACAACTATAGAAAAGAGGAAGACCAAAAGGAGCCGACAAAACCGTCATTGGCTTACCAAAAAGAAGAGAGAATAGGATCAGTTCCATTTATTCTTAAAATGTCACTCAAATAAGAAAGGTATAAATTATCTCCAAAACGTTTTGACTGTAATTTTTAGCTATACCATTTCAGTTTGTTGACAAAGTTTTAAAAGATGTCGTAAATGGCACCATTATCAATGAGAGTGAGGTTGAAACGTGACCAGAGAAAATGCTATCATCATGCCTTGATGAGAACGTTTGCATAGACAGTTGTAAAATATACTTTGGTCATGATGCTTGGGCAGTTGTTAGTTATTTAGTAGACACAACTGGCAAGAATCCTGCTTACTACAGTGGAAGATGTTTTATTGCTGATGACAAGCACCAATCCATTGCCTGTGACTGTTGCTTGGCTTGGTTCCATTTTACATGTCTCAATATGACAAAACCTCCTAAGGCCAGAGTGTGGATTTGTAGAGGCTGCCATGATATGTAACAATGACAAGAAAAGACTACTCTCAATATAATAAAAATACAATAATAACTTTAGATAGTAATTAAATATAACAATACTTATAAATCTATTGATTCAGAGACATGTGGTTTTGCGCAATACATGTAGGTCTACGAATAGACACTACCAATACTGAAAGGAGAAAAAATTTGGAGAGTTAAATATGGCAAATTGACTCTAAGGGCTGTATACGTATATGTTATAACACCCCAGTGAGGGATAAATCTGATATATCCTTCGCTTGGGTGTTATAACAAATTTATTTCATATTTAAGCCAAACATCACGTACTTCGCATGTGCAAGATGCAAGCATTGTGTCTACTGAGAGAAAATGGCTGATGATGAAGAGTCTGCTGATAAAGAAAATCAGAATCCATCCAAGAAAAGACGCCTTTCACTGACATTAAAGAGGAAGTCAAAGTAAGATCGTTTTGTGGAGGCATCTTCTGAGGACTTGCAGTCTGTCTGTCTACCGTATGCCAGGAAACAGTGCTTGTTCAAGCCGCTGGGCACTGAATGATTTCAGATTTTGGTTTGACAAGTATAATAAAAGAAAAAAGGCGACAAGTGTCCTGACGAGATCTTAACTCCATCTTGTTCTAAAGAAATTTTGAACAAGTGGCTGTGCGCTTACATATTGGAGACACTAAATCACGATAGTCAGCCATACCCTCCAAAGACAGGATATTCTCTTTTATATGGAATTCTTCGGGAAATGAGAGTCAGCAATCCTCAATATCCTAACTTTCTTCAGAGGGATGATGCGTCTTTTAATAAATTTCATGTGACATTGGATAATTTGTTTAAATCACTAAGAAGTGATGGTATTGAATCATCTTCAACAGTACCGAAACTATCACGAAAGAAGAGGAAGATTTACTTTGGATGTCTGGAGTGTTGAATATTGAGTTGCAAAGTGGTTTGCTTCGGGCTGTGTTTTACTATTGTGGAAAATGTTTATGCTTACAAGGTGGCCAAGAGCATAGAAATCTGTCTTTGTCACAATTGAAGAGAAACTATAGTCCTGATAGGTATGTTTATAGATCAAATGCATAAAAAAACAGACAGGTCTAAAGAAGCAAAAGAAGATTGACATTTACACAAGAAAGTCTAATGAGAGCAGCTGCTATCACCAATCTTACAGCAGCTGTTATTAAAGATTTGAGGCCTAATAACGTGGTAAATGAGGAAGGATTTAAAGCGTTGATATCGTACCTAGAACCTGGCTATCACTTACCTTCAGCTACACATTTCACAAATCTCATTGAGAAAATGTATACCACAGCGAAAGAGCAGATTCATCACCTTTTTTCTGAAGTTAAGTATGTGTCTATAACAGGTGATATATGGACCAGTATTGCCACTCATGCTTACCTTACAATCGCAGTTCATTACCTAAACTTAGAATGGGAAATGAAGAGCCTGTCACTTGGTACAATCCTTTTGGATGATAGTCATACAGGTGAACACACAAGATTGGGTTAAGGATTTGTTGACTGAGTTTGGGATTCGTCATGGTATTATCACTTCTTTTGTTCACGACAATGGATCTAACATTGATCTAGCTGGTAGACTACTAGAAGAAGAGTTAGGTTGGGCAACAATAGGATGTGCTGGACATACTCTACAGTTATGCGTTAATAGTGGTCTCAAGATAAATAGGAAAGTCGTCCAAGCAATATCTGCTTCTCGTAAGTTAGCCACACATTTCAGAAAGAGTGAGCCAGCCATGAGAGCTCTTAGAATTTGGGAGTCTGACATGAAAGTCCCATCACATAATCTAATACATGACGTCTCAATGAGATGGAACAGCACGTATTATATGATTGATTGTCTCTTTGAACAAAGATGGCCTATTACAGCAGTTTTATCAGATAGTACTGTTACTAAGAGTAGTGACAAATGCTTAGATCTGAAGAGCAAACAATGGGATATTCTGGAGCCATTACAAGTCATCTTAGGCCCACTTGAGGTTGCAACAACTTACCCGAGTGCGGAATACAACTTGTTGATTTCAGCATTACTACCTGTTCTGTTTGGCTTAATAAAATTACTGGAAACCTTGGACAGTGATACATCTACCATTCGACAAGCTAAAGTTGAAATTTCAAGTCAAATTCAAAGAAGATGGAACCTCAACAATTTATTAATTGCAAAGGATAACTTTTACTTAATGTCATCATTTCTAGACCCAACACTTAATAATTGCAAGTTTCTTAACACCCATCCGAAAATGGAAGTAACGCTATTGCTTATTCAGCTGTTGACAGAAATTAAGGAGAGTAACTTACCACACAGCAGTTCCGAGGAAATTGGAAGCTCAGCCTCAAACACAGTCTTCGTCATTATCAGCTTTAGATATTCTTTTAGGAACGTCAGAAAATGAGAGTAGCAATATTGTTGACCCAGTTATGCAAGAGGTAGAGCAATGTGTACGAGAGCCAACCACAGGAAGAGATTGTTCACCACTTTTGTGGTGGAAGGTGAATCAGCATTGTTTTCCACTTACTGCAATTATTGCAAAAAAATTTTTAGGAGTACCAGCTACATCCACACCATCAGAAAGAGTTTTTTCAACGGCAGTATGGATTGTCACAAGACTCAGGTCTTGCCTCACACCTGAACATGTTAACATGCTAGTTTTCTTAAATAGAAACTTCTTTGTTATAAATAATAAAATTTAACCATGGTAATTGTAGTGCTATAACAACAGTGGTCACTTATGTTAACAAAGGTCAGAGGTTAATTAATGAAGGCCACACACATAATTAATTAAGGCCACACCCACAATTAATGGATTAGTTGATCAAATTTTGAATGACTAACCACTACAATTTTTAATAGTTGTTTGAGCCTTAATCTCCACCTAAGGCTTTGTCGGTCTGAAGAAAACTAAGAACTTCAAAAGTATCCTCCAGTGATATATCAATACTGCAGATAGAGTTATCAGGGAAAGACTGAATTGGTGTTGTAGACTGAGTGGAAAAATTGATTGAATAAATTAGCAATAGAAAGATGCTCACATGAGTTAGAGTATACAACAGAGAAGATAGCTGACTTACCAGAGAGAGAACGTATATAACGAAAAAGACCAGGGTCCTATTTAGATACAAAATTCTCAACTAGTCTCTTCTCGTACATGACACAAGCCTTTTGCATATCCAGCTGGAGCAGATACTTGGCTGATGTGAGGCGGACCATTTTGAAGTGGGAGGGCCATAGCCAAAAGCACTTTCTAAGAGAGTGAACCTTATGAAGGCTGTGACGAATGCTGGGAGTAAACCAGCTTGGGAGATCTTCTGACTTAACCTTAACCATAGGAGTGAACATAGAAATAGCAGTGAGCATTACTCCTCTAAAGAATGACCAAGAGAACTGTAGTAAACTAATCTTATTATGCATTTGTAAGTAGTTATTATCAATATTGTAGTTATTATTAAGTGTTAATATTATTATTAATGGTTAGGTTATGTTATTATTAGTGATTATGTAATGTACCTAAATATAGAACATTTTTAATGTTTTTAAGTTCTGTACTGTATTCACAATACTTAGTTGGTTAGTTCATAGTTACTTCTTTATAAAGGATGTTCGTTATCAAGAGCAAACGCGTGCTATTGTCTTCACTAAGTCCCAAAGTTACCACAAGAACTCAATGTCTGTAGAGATAGGTAGAGGACTGAAGTCGTACTACAGTAAGAATGAGTTTAGACTCTCAAAGTCAGTCTGTTTATTATATAGGCAGCAGCCTATATGTGGGAATCAGGTGGATTTTTAATATGATTTTCCAGCACTTAAAGTATCTTATGTTGTCAGGCTTATAAATGGCTTAGATGAGTTCCCCTTCACTGAGCAATTCTCCTGGCATTTTTAAAGTGGACTGTAATGTGGCAGGAGCATTTCTGCAGAATAGGCCCAAAATTCAAAATTTTGCAAAATTCTTCAGACTTTTCTTCTTTCATCTTCTTCTATCAACATAGAAATCATTTAAGCCAGGAAAACGCTCGAGTTGGTTTTTATATCATCCTTGGCTGAT